GACAGAAGTCCTCACAGAAGCGAGATGTTAATAGCTGTTAGCCACTGGAATCATGTGGCGAGTGAAAGCAGTGATTAGGTGAACCAGAGTAGGCATGAATGCAAGCTTTCACATGAAATGACTAAGACCAGTAAAGCAAAAAGGAAACAAGACATCCGAACGTCGATTCATCCACACAGAGAATCTCTCAGCAAAACGCATGAAAGTCAGAGATCACAGGAGTGAACAGGAGTTAATTCTGTTGAGTAAAATGAAACAAAAAAATATATAAATAGAAATAATAATTATTCTGAATACATCACCGCATTTTAACAAAATCTCATGATACATTCAAAGGAATTTCGCCTAATTAATTCACAATCATTCAGTTTTATATATTTAACACAAGATAATAATGAAAACAACGACCTGCATGAGAATTGCTTCACTCATATTCCCGTTAATTAATTATACATAACATTACTGTGTTAACTTGTCTATCGGCTGCTTCACAATTCTTTCTTCTATTCATAATCTGTGAGACAAAAGAAGAAAGAGTCAATATCCAAAACAACAACTAACACAGCTAAGTTGGATGCCAGGTCAGGAATTCAAATGAGACTGGAAGAAAGTCAACTGAAGCGGTGAATACTTCCAGATTGCAAAAGATAATAATGAAGGAAGTGGGTCAGACGGAAATTCTCGCTTTGCAGAAATTCACATAACAATAACAGCAACAATAAGAATAACAATGACAACAAAGATGATTGATTATTCCGGTGAAGATGACAATAGAGAAGGAATTCAAGTTGACGACAACAACAAAAACAATAAGAAGAAGAAATGAGGTGAGGCACAATGCGTGGAATATTTGTCAGCAGATTATTTCTTAGTAAAGCAACCAGATGCTAGTGTGTAGGTCATGAGATAGAACTAGTGAGAAACACAGAGGCGATTCAAGCTACTAAGAAGGCGACGCCAAAATATTACCGTGGATTTAATTAAGACCAATATGAAAATTGAGAGAGAGAGAGATAGAAAGAGAGAACGGATATCCATACGGTGTAGAAGCCAGCGAGGTGAAACAGAGCAGACGGGTGTATAAGAAGAGAAATACTGGTTGCCTTAACAACGAGAAAGAATGTAGTCATATGTGTGCAGAGCAACAGCAGAATCCATGGTGAAAACCCGTGGGCTACATTTGAAATTCACAGAGACAAATTCAGGGAAGCCAATGTACCTCGAACTTCACAAACACGAGACATGAGAGTGATTGGGAAATATCTGAATTAGAAGGCACTGACTGTGTAAATAAGAAGACGGGGAAGACTACCTGCGCTATGTGGTTCTGAGTGAAGTGTGAGTGACGAAAAGAGAGGCAGAGTGTTTGTAAGGATTAGCAGAGAGATTAAAACCTTCATCTGATGTCTGATGTGTGATGCTTTCTGTCTGTTTGACTATCCGTCTGTCTGTATACGCCACAAAATCGGACAGGTAGAAGATGAGACATGAAGGGTTACGTGATGAGTGCGTAGGTGCCAGTCAGTATCCCCAGAGAATGAATTATCGCTGAAATACACTGAGTGATCGCTATTTTGCAGGTCCATTCAACGGACGACATGAGAAAATTGCATGTACAACAGATTGATTGTGCGAATTGTGAAGTCGTATATGTAAGAGAAAATTCCAAACGTGTAAATGTAAGAGAGAAAGAGCAAACAGTGTTCAAAGATTGTTTCGAAGACTTCTGAAGATTTGAAGAAGCTAGAAAAGATCAGCGTTTGTACTACACCTGATGGAAATGGGATGCAAAATCAACTTTGAAAGGTTGTGTGCTCTACTTAAAGGCTTTGGTTTGTATAAAGAAAGACCGACTGACAGATGCCCACATATTCGGTTGAATCCCAAGTGCTTGAATAGACGTTAGGGTATCATTCATAAAACACACCTAATCTGAATTACCTATTGTCTTTATAGTCGTATGAAGATGCTAACAAGTCATTTAGAAGTGTTACCGCATACATACCGCATATATATATATATATATATTAATAGTCAGTTATCTACAAACATAAACTTTTTGGACATGATCACTAAAAGTCTGAAGCAAAAAAACACAATGTTTAACAGTGTTTAACAAAGTTAGACTAGTATTTTTAAGTATGAGGTCATATTTTAGTCACAATTACTATTTGTTTAATTGAATTTTTGGATTTTCCCGTCGATCGATTGAACCGAAGTGCTCGGCTTCCAGTTGACATGTCGGCTTCTTGTGCAGATGATTCGATGATATTTGGGCATTTAATTAGTATTTTTCATTAGTGCTGACTAGCAGTAGATTCCAGGATGCATATTTCTTCCTGTTTGGGACTCTTCAATTGGATGTACCTGCATTTCTCAGTGAGTGTTGATGTTCCTACCGTGGCCAAAGTGGTCTAGTGAATAACGCTTTGGCGTTTGAAACAATGGTCACTGGGTTTGAGCCTCGGTGGGAACATCATCATTCACTGGGAAATGCACGTACATCCAGTTGATGAGTCCCAAATAGGACGAAATGCGCATCCTGGATTCCACTGCTAGTCACCACCAAATAAAAAATACAATTACTATATCGTCAGGATTTGAGGACGCTGAATGCATTCAAACATGAACTTATGATATTGGACAACTTGTTTTCACCTGGGAAGCTGAACTGACCTCAACTGACCTGAAATGCACTTTCATTTTGTCACATGTATGGAATGACAAAAAATAGAGTGTTTAACTAGTGTCGATATTAGCCGTCATAAAATGGAATAATAATTCAATCGTTCATTATTTATTCAGTATATTTGTGATACTAATTTGACCACTTCCCACTGACATACATACACAGACAATAGGGAATTTCTGTCTGTCTGTTTTCGACATAGAACTTTGCACATATGTGTAGCAGTTCAAGTCGCCACACTCAATGTTGCACACAAAGCAAGAGTAGAAAGTACAAGAAGAGCATAATAGAGACAGTAAGCAGAGGTGTGAGACAAAGGAGGAGTAATAACGAAGAACAAAACAGTTTCATTGGAAATAGGGAATTTATATTAGGTATGTATTATGAATGATATTTGTTTCCTTCACGTTCCCAGGGGAACATCGGGCTTCAAGCTGAAGACTTGAGGTTTCGGTAGCAGTGGTGATTATTTTTACGGAATGGGGTTGATAACCTCATGCCGAACCTTCTCTCTTTACCAGTCCTACTACTGGTTCAGCAAGGTAAAGGATAGAGGAATGAAACATATCCATTTTCATTTATTTATCAGGAATTGTCATGCATCAGGTAACATTACACCCTTACGCTTGTTCAAGCACTTGGGATTCAACCGAATATGTGGGCATCTGTCAGTCAGTCTTTCTTTATACAAACCAAAGCCTTTAAGTAGAGCACACAACCTTTCAAAGTTGATTTTGCATCCCATTTCCATCAGGTGTAGTACAAACGCTGATCTTTTCTAGCTTCTTCAAATCTTCAGAAGTCTTCGAAACAATCTTTGAACACTGTTTGCTCTTTCTCTCTTACATTTACACGTTTGGAATTTTCTCTTACATATACGACTTCACAATTCGCACAATCAATCTGTTGTACATGCAATTTTCTCATGTCGTCCGTTGAATGGACCTGCAAAATAGCGATCACTCAGTGTATTTCAGCGATAATTCATTCTCTGGGGATACTGACTGGCACCTACGCACTCATCACGTAACCCTTCATGTCTCATCTTCTACCTGTCCGAGTTTGTGGCGTATACAGACAGACGGATAGTCAAACAGACAGAAAGCATCACACATCAGACATCAGATGAAGGTTTTAATCTCTCTGCTAATCCTTACAAACACTCTGCCTCTCTTTTCGTCACTCACACTTCACTCAGAACCACATAGCGCAGGTAGTCTTCCCCGTCTTCTTATTTACACAGTCAGTGCCTTCTAATTCAGATATTTCCCAATCACTCTCATGTCTCGTGTTTGTGAAGTTCGAGGTACATTGGCTTCCCTGAATTTGTCTCTGTGAATTTCAAATGTAGCCCACGGGTTTTCACCATGGATTCTGCTGTTGCTCTGCACACATATGACTACATTCTTTCTCGTTGTTAAGGCAACCAGTATTTCTCTTCTTATACACCCGTCTGCTCTGTTTCACCTCGCTGGCTTCTACACCGTATGGATATCCGTTCTCTCTTTCTATCTCTCTCTCTCTCAATTTTCATATTGGTCTTAATTAAATCCACGGTAATATTTTGGCGTCGCCTTCTTAGTAGCTTGAATCGCCTCTGTGTTTCTCACTAGTTCTATCTCATGACCTACACACTAGCATCTGGTTGCTTTACTAAGAAATAATCTGCTGACAAATATTCCACGCATTGTGCCTCACCTCATTTCTTCTTCTTATTGTTTTTGTTGTTGTCGTCAACTTGAATTCCTTCTCTATTGTCATCTTCACCGGAATAATCAATCATCTTTGTTGTCATTGTTATTCTTATTGTTGCTGTTATTGTTATGTGAATTTCTGCAAAGCGAGAATTTCCGTCTGACCCACTTCCTTCATTATTATCTTTTGCAATCTGGAGGTATTCACCGCTTCAGTTGACTTTCTTCCAGTCTCATTTGAATTCCTGACCTGGCATCCAACTTAGCTGTGTTAGTTGTTGTTTTGGATATTGACTCTTTCTTCTTTTGTCTCACAGATTATGAATAGAAGAAAGAATTGTGAAGCAGCCGATAGACAAGTTAACACAGTAATGTTATGTATAATTAATTAACGGGAATATGAGTGAAGCAATTCTCATGCAGGTCGTTGTTTTCATTATTATCTTGTGTTAAATATATAAAACTGAATGATTGTGAATTAATTAGGCGAAATTCCTTTGAATGTATCATGAGATTTTGTTAAAATGAGGTGATGTTTTCCTAATTATTCTGGTTATATGTAGATTTTGCTATTTCTGTCATTCCTGTGAGGTCATGTTTACTTCTTTGATGCGATTGTTTGCGGAATGTGTTTAGGAAGTTTTGTCTTTCACCTTCAACAATCTTCTATATAAATATCCGTTTAATTCTGAGCAAAGTTTGCAGAGCTACATTGAATTTGGTTGCACGTTTAACTGAAATATTCTACGTCGGTTAAAGTAAGCACTGATATCATCTGTGTATTGTTTAATATTCATATTGTGATGATAAGAGTTGTCTTTTGTTTTCACAAATTTAACCTGTAATTTCCACCCCTGTTTATTCCGATATGATCACCAGTGCACCCATAAATTTTCTCAATATTTTTTTCGGTGGCTAAGCATGTATCTTATTGTCATTGTTAGTTCATTGACTTTCCATCGCTATGCACGGTTGATTCTAAACAGGACAATGTTAATGTCAGTGAATGCAGCAATGAGTGACGCCGATTTTTGTCTCTATCTGACATCGGTTTTCTTCTGTTTGTAGGTACGTGTTCTTAATGATTGATGATATATATATATATATCTACACAATCTAGCTGCAGTGCATTCTGCGAACGATTGTTTTACCACCTCACATCAGAGTTCTTAATTAGTAGGCCAGTTGAGAGGACTGGCCCCACATGAAGTCCAGTTCTTCCAGGGCTCATTTATCAGTCCAGCACGAGCGTGTATTCTCACTCCACACAGTCTGCCACTTGGTCGAGTCTATCACAGTTAAGAAGGCCATAGTCGATCTGAGGCAGTTCTGTCTTACAACTGTCTTCCATTCGGCAGCTTCATCAATGTTTCCACTGTGTGTTATTTCACATGTAACTTTTGAATGAGATTTGTGTTACTTTTTGTGTCACTTCATGTCGAAGTTTTGAAGGATTTGCTAGATTATCCCGACGTTAACGCTAATGAAATGCCATGAGAAAGTAGATGAATTTGAGGCAGATATTTGGTTGCTAATCTATGCTGTGTCCAATGATTCATAATGTTGTAATTTGATATTCATGATATTTGCTTTCCTCTATCCAGTCGTTTTCATGTGGAATTTAGAGTCTACTGGTTCTTCAGTCTTTCCAGGATGTTACAGACGTAAACGGTAGCATTATCTAGCACCAAATCTTACTAAGAAGACATTTGGTCTTCTTTGGAGTTCACTGAAATAGCCCTTGTTACAGTTGGTCGGTAGGTAGGTAAGCAGATAGGTAGATAGGTAGGTAGTTAACCTGCCTTACTTCCAGAGCTTCTGCAGTAATTTATGAAACTGCCCTCCATCCTGTCTTGGTCAGTCTTCTGTGCTTCTGAACCGAATACCCTCAATCCCACAGCTTTTATAGTTTCATTAGATTTATAGCTTTCAAGACTTCTGTCTTTGTCGTTGGTTCTGTGTGTCTCCTGTTAGTATTTGAGGAATAAGCGTGTGGACAGGTTGATTGCGCAACAGACTGTCACAGAGAAAAAAAATGATTTGGACAATGATAACTTGTGACTAAGGTTGAAGTGGTCATAAGAATAAAATAATTTTACAAGAATAACATGTACTTAAAGATGAAGTGGTCAGAAAAAATAGTAAAATAATTTGGACAATTATAATTTTTATATTAGATAGATGAAGGCGATTGGCAGGAAGCCTCGACTGGACCTAGGTTTCGTGCTAGTTGGCACTCACCGGTCAGTCGGCAAGGCGTATCTGCAACTGCCTTGAAGAAACTCATGCTCCTTCTTAGATTCGAATCCACGTCACCCAGTTCTGCCTGCAGTCAGAGACATTACCATTGAGCTAGCTATTCGGGCTCGCGACTGACCTCCTGTAGGATCTCCTGTAGTGGATATTTTGATTGGACACTAGTAACTAGTGTGACATGCATAGTGCTTTCTTTGGTGCAGACTGAATTCTATCAGTCAGATTGTAAATGTTTAGTGGGAGGGAGGTGGACGAAGTGGTATTATGTTTTCAGGTCCCTCTTATCAGTAGCATGTTACACTTCATTTCCCAGTGTACTGAAAGTGATTTTTATCCCTTTCAGCAGCCTTCTTCATTTAATTCTTCGTTGTCTTGAAGATCATAAATACTCAGCGTTTTCTTTAGTCGTTCATATCTGCGCTGGTTCATCTTCTCTTCCCTGTCATCACAATGAAGGCTTTTGTTGTGACTGTTGCGTTTGAAAAGACGTCGATGAATATGTATAGAGCTGTGGCTATGTACGTAGGTTGACTGAGCATAGTCTTTTAGATACGTTTAAAGGGAAATCCACATGGGGTTGAATCACCTAACTGAAGAAGGAATATATAGATGGAAGACTTCGTCATCCTGTTCTCATTTCTCATCAGTCAAACTGGGCAGTATTCAGCTAGACGTTTCTGAAGAACACATTTATAAGTTTCAATGTAACCAGCGATAGAACAGTCTGTGAAAGAGTAGTGGTTAATCCTTCATCGATTGTAAAGTAGTATTTTGGCTAAAGAATACCAGGTGTATGTCAGCGACATGAAAGGGAGCTCAACACACTTAGGTAGACAACTTACAAATCACCTTTTATCTGCAGACTCATTAAAAGTATTTTGTTTGACAATATGATATGGATAGTGGCGAGTACTCTCCTCACTCTTCTTTCAGTAAACCTTCTAGGATGTCTATTATTCAACAGTGTTGTACGAAGGTTTCCCAGTTCATTATCAACCGTATCTTGAGATTAGATTTCCAGAATTCTTGAACGCAGAACGCAGAATGGCGAGTGTTTCTCTCATGTGTAGTAGAACCAACCGTTCCCCATTCAACATAACATAGCAAATGTAACACATTTTTACTGGCTTCTTAAGTTCTAATGAAAACGGAATTTTCAAGTAATGCTTTTGTAGGGATTTTGTTTGTCTCACAGGTTGGAGGATTTCTTCATGAACTGACATCAATTAGAGAACTATTGAAAACCAGCCAGGGAGTACTGGACAACCAAATGTTTCGTCAGCCTAGTTTAGGACTCTTCAGTGGTACGCACCCACCTTCAGGGTTCGAAGCAAACACCTTCTGGTAACAAGGTGAGCCAGATCGTAGGCCATTAAGTCACTAGGACCAGATCCAACAGCCAATGAATTCTAACTTCTGCCAGTTCATGACATAGAGCGATGATTTCGCAAAGTCTTCTTTTATGAGTTACTGCCTCATATTCAACCTGCTGTGTACCCTACTGGTTACCGCCTTCCCGGACGAAATAGCTATCCAGTACTCCAGGGTTTTCCAATGGTTCTCTAACTGATGTCAGCTCATGGTGAAATCCTCCATCTGAAAACGGAATTTTTGTAATATATTTCCTTTATAAAACTGTTGATGCACACTTTGCAAATTAATTTTGAACAACTACGCATCTCAGTCAATCAGTAGTATATAGTTTTATACAGGAATATTCGGTTTCTCCGCAACCAGAACATATCGATCTCATGTTATGTGATCTCAGTCATTTTGATTTCAAAAATAAACTCTGATGAAATAATCATCACGAACTGGGTGAATCACCAGTCAATCAATCTGTGAATTTGCCGAGTGACATCAGTCAGATAAATATAAAAATAGCCTGAAGATTTTTCGTTCTAGTTTAGGATTCTTCAATGGTGAGTATATGAGGGGAGGAATCCAGGAAAAATTCAGATTTAGAGGATAACACCTCAACACTATGCATTCCAAATTCAGTCAATTCCTGATATAAATAAGTGTATATCACCAGTCTCTTTGTCTTCTCAGCCAGTTTGGTCAGTCTTATCGGTCACATCTTCCCTCTGTAACTTAAGGAAATTCATGTCGTGAATAGTCACTCATCTGTTTGTTAATCCCTTTATTTTATTCCTCTGTGAGCTGGAGCTGTAAAGTTTCAGTAGCAGTCTTGTTATTACCCCTTGACAGAGGGAGATTGTCTGACTCATTTCCTACCTCCCAGTTGATGGAAAGAAGACGGTTTCAAGGCATTTCGAGTCAACAGAGTGTACATCTGCATCCTAGATGACATTGTACTGCCACAGGAGTCTTGTGTTTGCTAGAGGAACAATCATTTTGTCACTTGTGTGAGATCCGATCGAGAGATAGGGATTCAGGCTTGCGTTTCGAAGTTTCAATAATGATGTTTTTGTCTTTACAGGGTAGGGATTCCGGATCCTCGTCGTCGAGGCATTCAGACATACCACTGGTAAGATGAGACTTAAGTCTTCGTCGGTTAGGAGGTGAACCCGAACCACGTGTGATGAGCATGGTTTAAATTCTGCTAATCAACTGATGCTCAAGTAATACTTAGTTATAGAAATGAATTATTCTAGTGATACGAATTATTATTATTGTTCCCTTGGGTTCCTGGTGGAACACAGGGCTTCAACTGGACGTCTCCACTTGCCACTTCTGTCTTCTTGTGTACTTTTCACCTGCATCCATGTGAGTACACACTGTTTCAACTCCTATTCACACGGTCTCCTCCATGTCACACTTACACCGACGTCCCACTCGCCTCTTCCCTCCGGGTTCCTCTCGAGTGATGGCCTGACGCGCGATGTCACCCAGCGGCCTCCTCAGTGAGTGTCCAATCCACCTGCACTTTCTCCTACATATTTGTTGAGCAATTGGTTCTTGCTTTGTTTGTTCCCATAGTTCCTCGTTGGTGATTATTTCCGGCCCAGTCATCTGATCTTCAGTATAGAGCCAGCAAAGACAGTTGTTGATAAAGGTCTGCAACAGGCTGCTGCAAATATTCTTTGTGACCAGCCAAGTTTCTGATCAGTATAGAAAAACTGAATTGGCGTTTGTGTTGGAAATCCAAATTTTGTTGTTGATGCTGAGTGACGAGGTTTTCCGTTTGGTTTCAGGTTAATGAATGTGTTTCTCACCTTCCCGATTCTTGATTTGACATCCTCGTCCGTTCCTCCTGTAGTTGAGACAATGCTCTCTAGATAAGTGAATGAAGTAACCTCTTTCAAATCCCTCCCGTTGATGATGATTGGCGCTTGATTTTGCTGCTGCTGTTGTAGTTAGTGGTGGTTGGTTATTTTCATAACCTCCGTCTTGTCTATGTTCACTTGGAGTCCTGTCTTCATTGTCTGTTTCTTCGACCAGTTTGTCAGTTTTCGCATGTAAGTCTTCGATTTTGTGACAGTGACATCAAACATAAATCATCCACGCGCGAAATCCAGGTCTTCTAGGTCGGTCTTCACGTCGGTCCAGGATATCCCTGTCTGCCCGTTTCCCACTCACTGTCTGACGCATAGTCCAGTCCACCACAATTAGGAATATCATTGGAGATAATGAGCAACCTTGTCTGACTCCTGTCTTTACTCCAAACGCCTCGCTGAGTTTTCCGTTGTGGATCACTTGACATGTGCCGTTGTCGTACAGCTGTTGAATAAGGTTGATGAATATCTGGGCTACGCCGTAGTACACGAGTAGTCTCCAAATTACTTCGCGGTCAACGCTGTCAAAGGCCTTCTCGAAGTCTATAAAGTTGAGGTAGAGGTTTGATTGCCATTCCACACTTTGTTCTGCGACGACGATTCGTAGAGTTGCAATTTAGTCAGTACACGATTTGCCTATCCTGAATCCAGCTTGTTCTGATTGAAGTTCTGTATCCAGTGCGTCCTTAATTCTCTCCAGGATGATGCGACTAAGGATTTTACTTGGCGTCGACAGGAGCAGGATTCCTCGCCAGTTCTTGCAGAGTCCTAAGTCTCACTTCTTTGATAGTTTAACGAGGTAACCTTCCCTCCAGTCAGTAGGCAACTTTCCCTCCTTCCAGACCATTTGCAATAATGGAGTCAGCATGTCTACTCTCGTCTCTGGGTCCGCTTTCAATGCTTCAGGAAGTATTCTATCTGGTCCAGCTGCAGTCCAGCTTTCGGAAGCTTGATTGCGTTCAACACTTCAGCTCTCGTTGGAGGATTGGTGTCAACTGCAGTCGTGTACGCACTGTTGTTGGCATTTCTGGACGGGTTGCAGGTGGTGGTCGGTTCAAGAGTCCTTTGAAGTGATCCACTCATCGTTTAATCTGTCTTCCTTCTTTGGTAACTGGGTTCCCTTGGCTGTCTTTTACAGGTTTCGCTTGTGTTTATCTCTTCTTGAATAGAGACTTGGTTATCTGATATAGTGTCCTCAGGTCCCTTTTTGCCTGCTGCCTTCTCAGCTTCAGTGGCGAGGTTGTCGTAGAATCGTCTTTTGTCCTTCCTAGCACTCTTCTTCACTTCTTTGTCCATCGCTTTGTAAGTTGAGCTCAGCGTCTACTTCTCCTGTCCGTCCTTGCATTGAATCATTTTCTCTTTCACCATTCTCCTCTCTTCTATTAATTTCAAAGTGTCCATTGAGAGCCATTCCTTGTCTTGTCTCTTCTTTCTTCCTAAAACCGTTGAACACTTTTCATTGAAAATCACCTTCAGAGAGTACCAATGGTCTTCTAAGCATGATTCTTCCATGATGTCACGTAGTGCTTCCTGCTTTGCTCTGACAGTTGCAGTGAAAGTGTTTTTTGTGGTTGTGTCCTTCAGTTTTTGAGTGTTGAGCTTGTATTGTGGCCTATCCCCAGCTATCATTGAGGCATATGGCTTCACCTTGAAAGTCCCTCGTGGTAGATAGTGGTCTGAACCCACATCTGCTCCTCTCCTCAACCTTGTGTCCAGTAGGCTCTGTCTCCGCTTCCTTGAAATTGAGATGAAGTCTATTTGGTTTTCGGTGTTTCCTTCTGATGAATTCCATTTCGCCTTGTGTATATCCTTGTGTTTGAACACACTGCCACCAATCACCATATCATTGATTGAAGGCGCAGAAGTCTGAGAAGAGTTCACCATTGTCGTTCATTTCATCAAGGGCCTCGCAAACCATTGTGAGTTCTCTTCCTGTATTGTCTCCCGCCAGCTTCACATTCATATCACCCATCAGGATTCCGATGTCGCCATTTTGGACGTTATCCATTATTGTTTGTAGTTGTCTGTAGAATGCCTCCTTCTTCTCCTCTTCTGAGACGTTTGTAGGCACAGAGCATTGAATGATTGTAACCTTCTTTCCTTCCTGTTGAGTTCAACCTGGCTGTCATTATCCTGGAGGAGATTGGTTCCCACTGCATGAGAGCTTTGGCTGCTGTTGGTGACATCATGATGGCCACTCCCTCGGTGTGCTTGTGATTGTCCTCTGGTTAGTCGGAATGGAGACGAATACATCATGTTTAAACCCGACTGCTTGTAATTATTGCCTAATTCTCACAGTGAAAAATGAACTGCAATTAGTGTGTTAAGTGAGTGAGTACCGTTTGATACAAGAAAATTAAGTGATATGAACCACTCAATATAAAAATTTTTTAATATGGATGAAGGCATGCCTTTTCAGAGAATTCTATCTGTGATAAATCTTGAGTTGAGTATATAGACGCAAATAATCAATGTTGTGGGGGATATTCATAATGACAGACAGCACTGGACAACAGGTTGACATAATTGATTGGCATAGTGAGTGGAGTCTAAACTTCCTTTTCATCACCTTACCAAAATTGATCATGGACAGAGCGTAAAAGTGATGGAACCGAAGCTGGTTGTGCAAGAGCGAGACAGAAGGAGGACGAGAGAGAGGAGGCGAACAGAGGAAGTATGTAACACACCTCATTCTTACTGTGTATTATTTATCAAAATCCTTTTCTTTCCTTCTCAATTTTTTAAAGCAACTAACCGAATGAAGTACATAGTAGCTCTGTTGTTTATCTACTCGGTGAGCCTCATCAAATCAGAAGATGAAGGGGGAATTATTGGACATTTACTTGTCGATAATGTGGATTATGCTTCAACAAGTGAAGGGAGGACAACTGAAGTGATAGCCAATAACGACAGAGGATTAGGAAGAAACAGTGAGTTATTTTATGATCAATGTCGATTATTTGGGTTCACTTGTATTTGATTCGCTTTGACACACACACACACACACACAGACACCTCCGTACCAACACATTTTCAAGTGATGGTTTGTAGAGATTTAATTGATTTCAGGTTGGTTGATGAACTGCTACGTCAGTTAGAGAATCTTTGATAACTAGGGAATACTTGACAGTTATTTCGACCCAGAGAGAGAGAGAAAGTCTTCAATAACACTCACTCATGACCTCAACGAAATTATCGAACCAAAACTTGAGAAGTAAACGAGTGCTCACTGGTGACTGCATACAGCATCGGGTGTCTGAGGTTGGAATTCTCCATCCATTGGATTGCATTCCAGTACTTGAGTGGTATGTGTGGTCGCCTCGTAATGTAAAGTTGATAACTTCAATTCCTGATCAATCGAGTAATGGTTCTATAGAGCTTAGAATTCCCGCGTTGGCTTTGAGTGATTTTCCGACTGATATCGGTTGGCGATTCAACCTGTAATCTCCGTCCCTATTTGGTAGAATGATATTGCCAGCCTGTTTCACTGTTTCACTTTACCAAGGGTCATCTCCGAATGGTAGGTGATCTGCATAAAATTACCAATGACTCGTTAGAACTTCCGATATATCACAACTAGATACTGTCTGACTGGTTCAAAACACACAAACTTCCATTCAGCTAATGCACACATCCATCATAAGAAGTATGATTCGGATTGTCATGTCACTGGTGGTATAGAGTTCACAGACTTGTCACGTGACCGGAGGCATTTTCATTAAGTAGCAGGCTTTGACCAACAGCTGACTGCACTTCACACTTAGGATGTTCAGATGTTCAAAGTGGAAAGAAAACAAGGCACTCTGACAACAATGAACCGACGAAGAGCTTACTTCCCAACAATAATTCAGAGGGAAACAGGGCCAGTTCTGGTAAACTCTGACGTGAGACACTGTTGAGTGATATCACACCGCAAACGGGACCTCACATAGAACAGAAATGTTGAATTAGACGTTGTCTGTGTTTCCGAGTGTGACGTGGATTTGAACGACTGAAGACGAAGTGATAGCTTATGAACGATCGTTGAGACAGTTAGAAGAAGCTGTTGAGAATAGCATGAAATGGATTGAGATGGGCTGTTGGAGTGTGACATGTTCCAACAGGAACCAGAGTGGTGTGCAGAATAATAAAACTTACATTCAGCGCCATATTTAGTGCATGGATTTAACCAGGAGCTAATTGTCTACTTCAACAACAATACATTTTAAAGTTGACGAATTCCACATTGGTGCCGTGTCATGTTATTCAATCATCTCAGCAGTGAAACGAACACACTGATTTTGCTGCCACAGTATATTTATCAGTCACATATCTACCGATGCATTTCTAATAGCTTATATATACATATGTGAATATCAGGAACCAGAGGGGTGTGCAGAATAATAACACTAACAATACGACTCAGGTACATGATAGCGTCGGTGTAGTTGTTCATGTCAGCTGTGAAAATGTACTTACTAAACGAAGGTATAATCCTGGTTGAATAAGTGGCAGTCAGACGCTACAAATTTGTAGAAAGGATAATATGCAGGCCACACCTGATCATAGTGTTAATGTTGTTAATATTACCGATTATTTGACGTTGAGTGCTGTTCAGGACGACTATACACACGGGCCAATAGGGCAGGTACAGTGAATTACTCTCCCTCTCTTAGTTATATTCACAATAGTGTCGATAACATAGAGGATTTCGTGGATCCCTTCGATAGCACAAGCATGAATTCCATTGGAATGTTCTGAAGTCACTTAGAGAAGAAAAGGATTAGACCAGTGAATGTGTCAGAAAACAGCATTATATGTACAAACATAATCCTTGACCGTCATTGAAGAGTTCGAAAAAGAAAATGGGAGGTATTCTTGGAACACAGACTAGGACCGTCGATCTACTTTTGTGACACCGCAATTTTTATAGAAAAGCTTTAAAATTGCGCGTCTCTACTGCAGACTCATGCGATTCAGTGATCAAAGTCATTATGATGGTAATTCGCTTGAGCCGTAATATTTACCATCAAAATGTAATCGGAATTCTTCGCCTTGATTTATAGAATTAGATTCCACATTTCCAAAGTCCTTACAAAGACCTTCGAATGCAATCTTAGTGAGAATTGTGTTACCATAGTAGAAGAGGTTTTATGAATCTATGTCCTACGCGTCCTACTCATTACTCAATATGACGATTAACTTCAGTAAGACGGCAGATATTTCAATGATGAGAATGAACAAAACGACTAGTGTCCAGCCAGCCGAGAGGCTGCTATGCTGGCGAATTCAGTTAGCCTCTCCAGTTGTACATTCACATTTCTTAGAGTCTTCCATGAAACAGGGTATTAACAGAAGTGATGAGTTGTCATATTCATAGTTTTAAATGTCAATCAATACACCAGAGGGAATGAATAGGGATGTTAAGTTTACGCATTGAGATAGAATTTTGAGTTGGTTGAAAACAACACGGTTATTACTGTGATAGTAAAAAGTAGTTGGTCAGTAGTTTTTGTACGCGTCGCTCCGGTTTCTCTATGTGAGTGCTTAGAGTATTAACAATCCATACACAATTTTTTGATTCAAAAATGCCTAAATTCAATTAATCAACACTTACTGCCAAAATTATGGAACTTAATACACTACACTGCATGACTGGAAATTACAAGATGATTATTTGAAAAATTTCAAGGAGAACCAACCACCTTTCTACGTGGAGCAACCATGTGGAAGATGAACGCTAAAGCGAGGTGAGCGAATTTCTGAATACCTGAAAAATCGCAAAGGAAATACACTGGTATTTTGGCGGCTCCATTCAATCTTCTCCATTACCTTGCCATCACTTCAATTTGAAACGTATTCTTGATAGGAGTTTTACATAACCTTCTCCACAGTCATTGTTCATTATTAATCCTCGTGCAATCACATTGTGTTTATTTTATATTTTGCATTAATGTCAACATAATTTTTTTTGTAGAACATGCAGAGGCCATTACAACAGAAGACACGGCTGCTGTCACAACACACTCAGATATTTCTGAGCACCGCAGTGATGAAACACAATCTCCAGTTCTTCCTGAGAGGAGCAATATCTCTTCTGTAACTACTGAGCAGATGACTGAAGATACAAGAAGTGATTCAAATGGTGAGTCTTTGTAATTGTTTTAATATTTACTTCACACACTTCTCCTATTGCGAAATCCACATGATTACTGAGTAACTCATCAGTAGGAAGTATCTGCAATCATGAGGGTGATAATGATCCACAGAGATTCGAATTCACGTCAAACATTACTGCAGTCACAGATGTTACAACTGAGTTGTTCAGTCTCACGAGCTCATCTAACATCTCTTTGAATTGCATAGCGATAGCCACTCAGTCAGACGTGTGATCACACAATGGACTCTTAGTGATAGATTTTAGCCAGGACCACTTATTGACAGCTACGTCACATAACGATGTCCACTGGGTAATCAGCGAACAATTAATTCATTCATTCATAGATGTCCATTCAGTAATCAAGACGTGTACATATCGAAGCTGATATTCTTAATCAAATTTCTCACTTCGACTAGTTGTGCATTGAATAGCACACTCTATACACACACACACACACTAGCAAATACACACAATGAAACAACCTTATTCAGGGGAAACGTTAGGAAGACAATTTATACTGCACCTGGATTTACTCCACAACCTAGAAACTTGATTTTCATGGTTCTATTTATTCCATCTTTTCACATCTTTCCTACGGCTGGTGAAATTAACTTCTTTTCCTAAAACACTTTTCCCATCATTTCTGTTGCACAAATTCTTATCTGTTTCAGTAAATAAGGCTTCCGTCAACAATAATCTTTCCTTCGCCTCTGTATTATTTGTATTATTTCAAGCCTCCCATCGTATTGTAGCGTTGTGTATCCCCGCATGTAGTGATATATTTGAGATATTTCCTAGATTTTCTATCTTATTGGCGTCAGATAATCTAAATTTTCCCATTTTTTGTGCCTCTGTATTCCCACTGTCCCCGTCCTATATCATTTGGATTATGTATTTCATCTCATAAAATGAATTATTTGGTTGTGTAGTGGCAATGAACAGTGTGAGTATGAACAATAATAAATTGCATATTTGAAAGGCTGCTCAGTTAATGATGATAGCAATTATGAGCACCACTGCTCATCATAACAAAAGCTCGCGGAAAAATTAAAGTAACCAAAATAAAGGAAACAGAGGCTTGTGTGAAAGTCATCAGTTAGCAGCAGTAAAACACATAGGCAATTCACGCTATTATGAAGGTATTACCAAGAAATTACCCTAGATTGAATTAAAACTAACATGAATATTGAGAGAGAGAGAGAGGTAGAAAGAGAGAACGGATATGCATGCGGTGAAGAAGCCAGCGAGGTGAAACAGAGTAAACGAGTGTATGTGAAGATAAATACTGGTTGGTAAAAGCAACGAGAAAGAATGAAGTGATACGCGTGTAGAAAAACAGCAGAATCTATGGAGAAAACACAGAAAGGAAGATTAGAAGTTCACAGAAACAATTACACAATCAATTACACAAACAGGAGAAATGAGAGTGATTGTAAAATATATATGAATTAGTAGACACCGACTGTGTAAATTCGAAGACAGAAGAGACTACGTGAGCTATGTGATTGTAGGTGAAGCGAGAATGAGGGTGAGATAGCATGTTTGTAGGGTATCGTAGAGACGACAAAATCAGGATGGGATCAGTGATCTGTTATGCTCTGTATGTGGCACGTACTCGGACAGGTAGAAGACGAGACGTCAGTCAGTATTTCCGGAGAATGAATAATCGCTGAAATACACTGGGTGATTGCTAGGTTTGCAGGACAAATCAACGGTCTACATGACAAAATTGCATGTACAACACATTGATTGTGAGGATATTGACACCGTATGAGACAGAAAAAAGAACGGTGTTTGCAATCCAGTTGAAAGAATAAGAATTAAACTAAGGACACAGTATTTTTCCACAATTGAAAAGTTATCGTCGGAAGGCTAAATAAGTGCCTGCTCCCATAACTCTCGTTCACTCTCCCTTAGTCTCTATGTATGAGTGCCACATTTTCGGTTAGATTATGGGACTTGAGGGATTTGTGATGAGAGAGCAGGTATGAGTGTCAATGTCACTGTCGGAGAACGGCTATTCGCTGAGATGGATTGACTGAAGGATTGACTGTCTGTCTGTCACACCGACTACGTGATTGACTGAGTCCGTCCGTGACTACGTGCATTCCATCTCGGACACATTCAACCCCACACCCAAATACAAACCAGAAAATCTCCTCCATCGCATTGCCACCACGTCAGTTTCACAGTGTCCTAAAATCCACGACAATCCACGGCATAAGGAACATGTTCATACCCACTCGATTGAACAAAAATACATCGAGTGGTTGTCTGCAAATTCAAAATTGATTGATTAACTCTCGCTGATGCAATTTATTCAGGCCAACCATTAGCGTGGCACAAAGTACGTAAAGTTGAGAAGAAAATTATCACGGATGATAAATTTAATTTCCTGTCAATTTTGAAGAAAATCCGAAACCATAATTACAAGATAGGATTAACGACTTCAACTGCACAAAGTGACTAGGACCAATAAAAGCTTGTTTCGTTCGGAATTTAAATTCCATATTTCATACAGAAGTCTATAAACACATGTTTTACAAGGAATGTACTGTACTTTCATTCGTATTCTTTCGTCTTCTTCTTCCAACCTGTACACGATGGAATCATTCGCGCCTTCAAGTTATCCGACGGAAGCGACCACTGTCAATCACGCATGATGGATATATCTCATACTATCACAACTATGCTGATGAGTCGAATTCCACGGAGATGCCTGTTCGCCATACACAGAAACAGACAGAGACAGAGACAGAGACAGAGACGACGACCGAGTCCGAGACCGAGACAGAGACGAAGACCACACAATCATCAGCCTTCCCCAGTACGCATAGCATGTCTACTGTGACTGATGAAGAAACAACGCGTCGACCGACTGGTGAGTCTCAACTTCTCATGTTTACCCATCATTGTATTTTGTTGAGCGTTGTTCTGGTGTGTGTGTGTGTGTGTGCACAATTCCAGCAGATTATGCATATCGTCACCACACTTGTTCAATACAGTTGAGAAGCCAATTTCATGGAAGATAAATCTAATCTTCTATTATTTTCGAAGACTCTCCGAATCGATAATTACTAGTTAGGATTATCGACTTCAACTGCACAAAGTGACTAGGACCAATAAAAGCTTGTTTCGTTCGGAATTTAAATTCCATATTTCATACAGAAGTCTATAAACACATGTTTTACAAGGAATGTACTGTACTTTCATTCGTATTCTTTCGTCTTCTTCTTCCAACCTGTACACGATGGAATCATTCGCGCCTTCAAGTTATCCGACGGAAGCGACCACTGTCAATCACGCATGATGGATATATCTCATACTATCACAACTATGCTGATGAGTCGAATTCCACGGAGATGCCTGTTCGCCATACACAGAAACAGACAGAGACAGAGACAGAGACAGAGACGACGACCGAGTCCGAGACCGAGACAGAGACGAAGACCACACAATCATCAGCCTTCCCCAGTACGCATAGCATGTCTACTGTGACTGATGAAGAAACAACGCGTCGACCGACTGGTGAGTCTCAACTTCTCATGTTTACCCATCATTGTATTTTGTTGAGCGTTGTTCTGGTGTGTGTGTGTGTGTGTGCACAATTCCAGCAGATTATGCATATCGTCACCACACTTGTTCAATACAGTTGAGAAGCCAATTTCATGGAAGATAAATCTAATCTTCTATTATTTTCGAAGACTCTCCGAATCGATAATTACTAGTTAGGATTATCGACTTCAACTGCACAAAGTGACTAGGACCAATAAAAGCTTGTTTCGTTCGGAATTTAAATTCCATATTTCATACAGAAGTCTATAAACACATGTTTTACAAGGAATGTACTGTACTTTCATTCGTATTCTTTCGTCTTCTTCTTCCAACCTGTACACGATGGAATCATTCGCGCCTTCAAGTTATCCGACGGAAGCGACCACTGTCAATCACGCATGATGGATATATCTCATACTATCACAACTATGCTGATGAGTCGAATTCCACGGAGATGCCTGTTCGCCATACACAGAAACAGACAGAGACAGAGACAGAGACAGAGACGACGACCGAGTCCGAGACCGAGACAGAGACGAAGACCACACAATCATCAGCCTTCCCCAGTACGCATAGCATGTCTACTGTGACTGATGAAGAAACAACGCGTCGACCGACTGGTGAGTCTCAACTTCTCATGTTTACCCATCATTGTATTTTGTTGAGCGTTGTTCTGGTGTGTGTGTGTGTGTGTGCACAATTCCAGCAGATTATGCATATCGTCACCACACTTGTTCAATACAGTTGAGAAGCCAATTTCATGGAAGATAAATCTAATCTTCTATTATTTTCGAAGACTCTCCGAATCGATAATTACTAGTTAGGATTATCGACTTCAACTGCACAAAGTGACTAGGACCAATAAAAGCTTGTTTCGTTCGGAATTTAAATTCCATATTTCATACAGAAGTCTATAAACACATGTTTTACAAGGAATGTACTGTACTTTCATTCGTATTCTTTCGTCTTCTTCTTCCAACCTGTACACGATGGAATCATTCGCGCCTTCAAGTTATCCGACGGAAGCGACCACTGTCAATCACGCATGATGGATATATCTCATACTATCACAACTATGCTGATGAGTCGAATTCCACGGAGATGCCTGTTCGCCATACACAGAAACAGACAGAGACAGAGACAGAGACGACGACCGAGTCCGAGACCGAGACAGAGACGAAGACCACACAATCATCAGCCTTCCCCAGTACGCATAGCATGTCTACTGTGACTGATGAAGAAACAACGCGTCGACCGACTGGTGAGTCTCAACTTCTCATGTTTACCCATCATTGTATTTTGTTGAGCGTTGTTCTGGTGTGTGTGTGTGTGTGTGCACAATTCCAGCAGATTATGCATATCGTCACCACACTTGTTCAATACAGTTGAGAAGCCAATTTCATGGAAGATAAATCTAATCTTCTATTATTTTCGAAGACTCTCCGAATCGATAATTACTAGTTAGGATTATCGACTTCAACTGCACAAAGTGACTAGGACCAATAAAAGCTTGTTTCGTTCGGAATTTAAATTCCATATTTCATACAGAAGTCTATAAACACATGTTTTACAAGGAATGTACTGTACTTTCATTCGTATTCTTTCGTCTTCTTCTTCCAACCTGTACACGATGGAATCATTCGCGCCTTCAAGTTATCCGACGGAAGCGACCACTGTCAATCACGCATGATGGATATATCTCATACTATCACAACTATGCTGATGAGTCGAATTCCACGGAGATGCCTGTTCGCCATACACAGAAACAGACAGAGACAGAGACAGAGACAGAGACGACGACCGAGTCCGAGACCGAGACAGAGACGAAGACCACACAATCATCAGCCTTCCCCAGTACGCATAGCATGTCTACTGTGACTGATGAAGAAACAACGCGTCGACCGACTGGTGAGTCTCAACTTCTCATGTTTACCCATCATTGTATTTTGTTGAGCGTTGTTCTGGTGTGTGTGTGTGTGTGTGCACAATTCCAGCAGATTATGCATATCGTCACCACACTTGTTCAATACAGTTGAGAAGCCAATTTCATGGAAGATAAATCTAATCTTCTATTATTTTCGAAGACTCTCCGAATCGATAATTACTAGTTAGGATTATCGACTTCAACTGCACAAAGTGACTAGGACCAATAAAAGCTTGTTTCGTTCGGAATTTAAATTCCATATTTCATACAGAAGTCTATAAACACATGTTTTACAAGGAATGTACTGTACTTTCATTCGTATTCTTTCGTCTTCTTCTTCCAACCTGTACACGATGGAATCATTCGCGCCTTCAAGTTATCCGACGGAAGCGACCACTGTCAATCACGCATGATGGATATATCTCATACTATCACAACTATGCTGATGAGTCGAATTCCACGGAGATGCCTGTTCGCCATACACAGAAACAGACAGAGACAGAGACAGAGACGACGACGACCGAGTCCGAGACCGAGACAGAGACGAAGACCACACAATCATCAGCCTTCCCCAGTACGCATAGCATGTCTACTGTGACTGATGAAGAAACAACGCGTCGACCGACTGGTGAGTCTCAACTTCTCATGTTTACCCATCATTGTATTTTGTTGAGCGTTGTTCTGGTGTGTGTGTGTGTGTGTGCACAATTCCAGCAGATTATGCATATCGTCACCACACTTGTTCAATACAGTTGAGAAGCCAATTTCATGGAAGATAAATCTAATCTTCTATTATTTTCGAAGACTCTCCGAATCGATAATTACTAGTTAGGATTATCGACTTCAACTGCACAAAGTGACTAGGACCAATAAAAGCTTGTTTCGTTCGGAATTTAAATTCCATATTTCATACAGAAGTCTATAAACACATGTTTTACAAGGAATGTACTGTACTTTCATTCGTATTCTTTCGTCTTCTTCTTCCAACCTGTACACGATGGAATCATTCGCGCCTTCAAGTTATCCGACGGAAGCGACCACTGTCAATCACGCATGATGGATATATCTCATACTATCACAACTATGCTGATGAGTCGAATTCCACGGAGATGCCTGTTCGCCATACACAGAAACAGACAGAGACAGAGACAGAGACAGAGACGACGACCGAGTCCGAGACCGAGACAGAGACGAAGACCACACAATCATCAGCCTTCCCCAGTACGCATAGCATGTCTACTGTGACTGATGAAGAAACAACGCGTCGACCGACTGGTGAGTCTCAACTTCTCATGTTTACCCATCATTGTATTTTGTTGAGCGTTGTTCTGGTGTGTGTGTGTGTGTGTGCACAATTCCAGCAGATTATGCATATCGTCACCACACTTGTTCAATACAGTTGAGAAGCCAATTTCATGGAAGATAAATCTAATCTTCTATTATTTTCGAAGACTCTCCGAATCGATAATTACTAGTTAGGATTATCGACTTCAACTGCACAAAGTGACTAGGACCAATAAAAGCTTGTTTCGTTCGGAATTTAAATTCCATATTTCATACAGAAGTCTATAAACACATGTTTTACAAGGAATGTACTGTACTTTCATTCGTATTCTTTCGTCTTCTTCTTCCAACCTGTACACGATGGAATCATTCGCGCCTTCAAGTTATCCGACGGAAGCGACCACTGTCAATCACGCATGATGGATATATCTCATACTATCACAACTATGCTGATGAGTCGAATTCCACGGAGATGCCTGTTCGCCATACACAGAAACAGACAGAGACAGAGACAGAGACAGAGACGACGACCGAGTCCGAGACCGAGACAGAGACGAAGACCACACAATCATCAGCCTTCCCCAGTACGCATAGCATGTCTACTGTGACTGATGAAGAAACAACGCGTCGACCGACTGGTGAGTCTCAACTTCTCATGTTTACCCATCATTGTATTTTGTTGAGCGTTGTTCTGGTGTGTGTGTGTGTGTGTGCACAATTCCAGCAGATTATGCATATCGTCACCACACTTGTTCAATACAGTTGAGAAGCCAATTTCATGGAAGATAAATCTAATCTTCTATTATTTTCGAAGACTCTCCGAATCGATAATTACTAGTTAGGATTATCGACTTCAACTGCACAAAGTGACTAGGACCAATAAAAGCTTGTTTCGTTCGGAATTTAAATTCCATATTTCATACAGAAGTCTATAAACACATGTTTTACAAGGAATGTACTGTACTTTCATTCGTATTCTTTCGTCTTCTTCTTCCAACCTGTACACGATGGAATCATTCGCGCCTTCAAGTTATCCGACGGAAGCGACCACTGTCAATCACGCATGATGGATATATCTCATACTATCACAACTATGCTGATGAGTCGAATTCCACGGAGATGCCTGTTCGCCATACACAGAAACAGACAGAGACAGAGACAGAGACCGACGACCGAGTCCGAGACCGAGACAGAGACGAAGACCACACAATCATCAGCCTTCCCCAGTACGCATAGCATGTCTACTGTGACTGATGAAGAAACAACGCGTCGACCGACTGGTGAGTCTCAACTTCTCATGTTTACCCATCATTGTATTTTGTTGAGCGTTGTTCTGGTGTGTGTGTGTGTGTGTGCACAATTCCAGCAGATTATGCATATCGTCACCACACTTGTTCAATACAGTTGAGAAGCCAATTTCATGGAAGATAAATCTAATCTTCTATTATTTTCGAAGACTCTCCGAATCGATAATTACTAGTTAGGATTATCGACTTCAACTGCACAAAGTGACTAGGACCAATAAAAGCTTGTTTCGTTCGGAATTTAAATTCCATATTTCATACAGAAGTCTATAAACACATGTTTTACAAGGAATGTACTGTACTTTCATTCGTATTCTTTCGTCTTCTTCTTCCAACCTGTACACGATGGAATCATTCGCGCCTTCAAGTTATCCGACGGAAGCGACCACTGTCAATCACGCATGATGGATATATCTCATACTATCACAACTATGCTGATGAGTCGAATTCCACGGAGATGCCTGTTCGCCATACACAGAAACAGACAGAGACAGAGACAGAGACAGAGACGACGACCGAGTCCGAGACCGAGACAGAGACGAAGACCACACAATCATCAGCCTTCCCCAGTACGCATAGCATGTCTACTGTGACTGATGAAGAAACAACGCGTCGACCGACTGGTGAGTCTCAACTTCTCATGTTTACCCATCATTGTATTTTGTTGAGCGTTGTTCTGGTGTGTGTGTGTGTGTGTGCACAATTCCAGCAGATTATGCATATCGTCACCACACTTGTTCAATACAGTTGAGAAGCCAATTTCATGGAAGATAAATCTAATCTTCTATTATTTTCGAAGACTCTCCGAATCGATAATTACTAGTTAGGATTATCGACTTCAACTGCACAAAGTGACTAGGACCAATAAAAGCTTGTTTCGTTCGGAATTTAAATTCCATATTTCATACAGAAGTCTATAAACACATGTTTTACAAGGAATGTACTGTACTTTCATTCGTATTCTTTCGTCTTCTTCTTCCAACCTGTACACGATGGAATCATTCGCGCCTTCAAGTTATCCGACGGAAGCGACCACTGTCAATCACGCATGATGGATATATCTCATACTATCACAACTATGCTGATGAGTCGAATTCCACGGAGATGCCTGTTCGCCATACACAGAAACAGACAGAGACAGAGACAGAGACAGAGACGACGACCGAGTCCGAGACCGAGACAGAGACGAAGACCACACAATCATCAGCCTTCCCCAGTACGCATAGCATGTCTACTGTGACTGATGAAGAAACAACGCGTCGACCGACTGGTGAGTCTCAACTTCTCATGTTTACCCATCATTGTATTTTGTTGAGCGTTGTTCTGGTGTGTGTGTGTGTGTGTGCACAATTCCAGCAGATTATGCATATCGTCACCACACTTGTTCAATACAGTTGAGAAGCCAATTTCATGGAAGATAAATCTAATCTTCTATTATTTTCGAAGACTCTCCGAATCGATAATTACTAGTTAGGATTATCGACTTCAACTGCACAAAGTGACTAGGACCAATAAAAGCTTGTTTCGTTCGGAATTTAAATTCCATATTTCATACAGAAGTCTATAAACACATGTTTTACAAGGAATGTACTGTACTTTCATTCGTATTCTTTCGTCTTCTTCTTCCAACCTGTACACGATGGAATCATTCGCGCCTTCAAGTTATCCGACGGAAGCGACCACTGTCAATCACGCATGATGGATATATCTCATACTATCACAACTATGCTGATGAGTCGAATTCCACGGAGATGCCTGTTCGCCATACACAGAAACAGACAGAGACAGAGACAGAGACGACGACCGAGTCCGAGACCGAGACAGAGACGAAGACCACACAATCATCAGCCTTCCCCAGTACGCATAGCATGTCTACTGTGACTGATGAAGAAACAACGCGTCGACCGACTGGTGAGTCTCAACTTCTCATGTTTACCCATCATTGTATTTTGTTGAGCGTTGTTCTGGTGTGTGTGTGTGTGTGTGCACAATTCCAGCAGATTATGCATATCGTCACCACACTTGTTCAATACAGTTGAGAAGCCAATTTCATGGAAGATAAATCTAATCTTCTATTATTTTCGAAGACTCTCCGAATCGATAATTACTAGTTAGGATTATCGACTTCAACTGCACAAAGTGACTAGGACCAATAAAAGCTTGTTTCGTTCGGAATTTAAATTCCATATTTCATACAGAAGTCTATAAACACATGTTTTACAAGGAATGTACTGTACTTTCATTCGTATTCTTTCGTCTTCTTCTTCCAACCTGTACACGATGGAATCATTCGCGCCTTCAAGTTATCCGACGGAAGCGACCACTGTCAATCACGCATGATGGATATATCTCATACTATCACAACTATGCTGATGAGTCGAATTCCACGGAGATGCCTGTTCGCCATACACAGAAACAGACAGAGACAGAGACAGAGACAGAGACGACGACCGAGTCCGAGACCGAGACAGAGACGAAGACCACACAATCATCAGCCTTCCCCAGTACGCATAGCATGTCTACTGTGACTGATGAAGAAACAACGCGTCGACCGACTGGTGAGTCTCAACTTCTCATGTTTACCCATCATTGTATTTTGTTGAGCGTTGTTCTGGTGTGTGTGTGTGTGTGTGTGCACAATTCCAGCAGATTATGCATATCGTCACCACACTTGTTCAATACAGTTGAGAAGCCAATTTCATGGAAGATAAATCTAATCTTCTATTATTTTCGAAGACTCTCCGAATCGATAATTACTAGTTAGGATTATCGACTTCAACTGCACAAAGTGACTAGGACCAATAAAAGCTTGTTTCGTTCGGAATTTAAATTCCATATTTCATACAGAAGTCTATAAACACATGTTTTACAAGGAATGTACTGTACTTTCATTCGTATTCTTTCGTCTTCTTCTTCCAACCTGTACACGATGGAATCATTCGCGCCTTCAAGTTATCCGACGGAAGCGACCACTGTCAATCACGCATGATGGATATATCTCATACTATCACAACTATGCTGATGAGTCGAATTCCACGGAGATGCCTGTTCGCCATACACAGAAACAGACAGAGACAGAGACAGAGACAGAGACGACGACCGAGTCCGAGACCGAGACAGAGACGAAGACCACACAATCATCAGCCTTCCCCAGTACGCATAGCATGTCTACTGTGACTGATGAAGAAACAACGCGTCGACCGACTGGTGAGTCTCAACTTCTCATGTTTACCCATCATTGTATTTTGTTGAGCGTTGTTCTGGTGTGTGTGTGTGTGTGTGCACAATTCCAGCAGATTATGCATATCGTCACCACACTTGTTCAATACAGTTGAGAAGCCAATTTCATGGAAGATAAATCTAATCTTCTATTATTTTCGAAGACTCTCCGAATTGATAATTACTAGTTAGGATTATCGACTTCAACTGCACAAAGTGACTAGGACCAATAAAAGCTTGTTTCGTTCGGAATTTAAATTCCATATTTCATACAGAAGTCTATAAACACATGTTTTACAAGGAATGTACTGTACTTTCATTCGTATTCTTTCGTCTTCTTCTTCCAACCTGTACACGATGGAATCATTCGCGCCTTCAAGTTATCCGACGGAAGCGACCACTGTCAATCACGCATGATGGATATATCTCATACTATCACAACTATGCTGATGAGTCGAATTCCACGGAGATGCCTGTTCGCCATACACAGAAACAGACAGAGACAGAGACAGAGACAGAGACGACGACCGAGTCCGAGACCGAGACAGAGACGAAGACCACACAATCATCAGCCTTCCCCAGTACGCATAGCATGTCTACTGTGACTGATGAAGAAACAACGCGTCGACCGACTGGTGAGTCTCAACTTCTCATGTTTACCCATCATTGTATTTTGTTGAGCGTTGTTCTGGTGTGTGTGTTTTTGTGTGCACAATTCCGGCAGATTATGCATAATAATGCTTGGGAATGCTGATCGATACGATGGACAGGACACATGGTCGAGTGAAGTGCATCATTGTGCGACATGACGATGATATATGTAACCAGCGGTTTGTGGGTGGGTGGGACGTTGCGTTGGTTGGTCACTCTGTGAGTCAGGCAGGCAGTCACTCAGTCAGTCAGGCAGTGTTCAGTTTTCAACACGACCAGATAGCATATCGTCGATCGGTCGCCTTACCTGAATGCACAATCACAAACAAGGCGAATCTGAATATTGCCCACTAAGGATGACAATGTGAATTGAATTACCGCCTGATAATCACTCGTGGGAAACAATAATCATCGTGAGATTAGCAGTAATATTAGATGATGTTGACATCGAATTAGCAGGGGACGATAAAGAAGCAGTAGACTAAGTAGAAAGTTGTAGAATTGGAAGAAGTGTAAGCAAGAAGCAGTCTCGATGATAGTAGCGGTAGTTTTGTTATTTTGAGTAGTGATAGTTTCAATTGTAGTAGTTAGTTTCGAAGGCTTTGTCTCCTGGAATGGAAATTTCCATCACCCCGAAGTGCTTAATTTTTTCAATCTTATGGATGCAGTTGATTGTTGCATAGTTCAGGGCTTTCAGTCTTCAATATGAACTACTGTTTACAAAGTTTATTTTACAAATCTTTCGAGGAATTTCATCTGTCCTGAATGTTAATGTGCCAGCCAGTCGTTTCACTGAAATATATGGATCAAAGCGGGTTATCTGTCAGTTTTCCGAAAGATTTTTCCCCCAAACTACATTGTGTATTATTTCAACATGGATGATGTCATTGTAAACTGGGTGTGATCAGTAGGAACACAGCAATTAACTCTCAGTGATCACGCATCAGTAGAACAAATCACACTAACGCATACTATTCAGATCACAAAGGGTTAGATGGAATTTTCATTCTATTCACTGATAGTATTCATTCCTCTACTAATTGGTTGCGTGTTTATTTCATCTTTCGTGTTCAATATTTAGTATGAATTGGCATGTTGTCTAATATGACGTTACTGTATAGGCATCGTTATTCATTACTATTTAACTACATTTCATTTCAGAGGGTTTTCAGAACTCCATTGTCCCTTTAGTAATCATCCTTCTGTGATTGAATCAATTGCATCTGCTAGACATATTTTATTCCTCTTCCACTCTCTACTCGAACTCCTTGATTCCGACACTTCATTCTACTTGCTCCACACACACACACACTGGTGTGTTTTATATTTCCTAGCCAGAATGATTTAAACTCATCAACGTTTCTCTTCTGTATGTTGCACTCTACGATTAATTTTACCTGCAATCATCGTGGACATCTGAAACTGTATTGAGTAGAGTGTAGTGCGTAAAGACTGAGTTCACCTATTGGTTGGCATTGAGAATCCTTGAAACCTGTGGACTACTCGACACATGTTTCCTCCTCATTTCTGCGTCTTCTGCATGACGATCAAGCGACACCATCAGGTAACGAGGCCAGCACCTACAGGTGACCAAATCAATCAATTCGCTGACTATTTCAACTCTGAGACCTATTCACAAGTTCCATCTATTCTAACTCCTCCCGGATCTCACCTCTGATATAACATGGTATTTCAGATAAATCTCGCTTATCACTCAACCTACCGGTCTGCACAATCAATACTTCATATTCTGATGATTAGTCTTCCTGATTATCCTCATCATAAGAAGTCTACATTTACGTTAGGCAAACATTCGGAATGGAGAAATATTTCACAGTCAGATTAAGTCTGATTCCACTCAGTCACGTGTTCCTCAGAAATTGAGGCTTCTAACTGCATTGGAAAATGCACTCGTGATAGTTGACATCAGGAGTTCACTTCTTAGGATTGATTTACACAATTGGCTGGATTCAGGAGAAACAAGTCATGTATTGATCAAATTGCCACACTACAGATCATGATTGAACAATGCTTAGAATGTCAGTCACCTCTCTATCTTAACTTCATCGACTTTGTGGAGGCCTTTGATAGCGCAGCGTTTATCGAACGGTCATTCGGCAACTACTTCGCTACTACGCGGTGCCATCGACAATAATACATCTCACCCAACAGTTATACGACAACGCTGCATGACAAGTAATCCACAACGGAAAAATTACGGAAGCCTTCGAAGCGAGGACGGGAGTGAGGCAAGGCTGTCTACTATCGCCAATGATTTTCCTGATTGCAGTAGACTGGATAATGCGACAGGCAACGGGCCGGGCAATGAGGAAACAGGCATAAAATGGACTCACATAAAAAACTGGGAGGATCTGGACTTCGCCGATGGTATATGTCTGATTTCCCATAAATCGGAAGATATGCAAGTGAAAAGCAACAAGCTGGAAGAAGAAGCATCAAAGAGAGGACTTCAGTTGAACATAGAGAAGGCGCAGGTAAGTGATGAAGATTCCTGGCCAACATCAACAGCCACAGAAACATTAACAGACAACAATCAGCCAGCATAAATGGGAATAACATGAAAGAAACAACCTCCTTTACCTACCTGAGAAGCATCGTTTCAACTACAGGCGGACAGAACTGACGAGGATATCAAAGCCAGAATCAGAAAAGCAAGAAAAGCTCTCATTACTCTTCAGTCTGTGTGGAGGTCAACAGCACTCATCATCAAAAATAAGATCCGGATTTTCAACTCCAATGTTAAGTCAGTGCTACTCACTATACGGATCAGAGACTTCGCCATGGCGTCATAAAGAGCACCTCAAACAAAATCCAGACCTTTATTAACAACTTTCCTCGCTCAATACTCAAGATCAGATGGCCGGCCAGAAAAGATCAGCAACAGGGATCTCTGGCTATGAGCGAACCAACCATGAACCGATTGTGAAACAAATAGGCAGGAAGATATGGAGATGGATTGTCCATATTCTGAGGAAACCATCAAGTGACATCGCTAGACAAGCCATTACTCGAGTGGAACCCGAAAGGGAAGCAGCGAGTTGGTCGTCAGTGCAAGGGTGACTCGGAGGAGGTCATGTGAAGAGGAGATGAAAGCGTGTGGGCAGACTTGGAGCGGGCTGAAAGAGTTGGCAGAAAACCGAAGGAGACGCGCGGCCGAAGACCTATGTTCCTCTAGGAATTAACGGACAATTTAATAATAATAATAATGTTAGTGCACAATTTACAAATGAAGGTAGTTCAACTCCATTGCTCATATGGAAGGTCAACAAATCGACTAGTTCATGTCAACTGTCGTGAACTAGAATGAAAGATAATTCAATGAGACATTATCCACACTGCATATTTCTCATACTGATTTTGACACCTCCAATGGACGTGGAATATGAAACCTCGAGATGCGAACACATTAGGAATCCTAAGACAAACAGAAGTCGTATTAAACTCTGTTTAGATATTTGCACGCATACCTGCCATAACTGTACGTTCTCTCTCTCTCTCTGAACAAAATGAATGATTCTCAAATTAATTTTCATTATTCTAATTTCTAGATAATTCTACAAGTGATTAACTCGTCGTCGATGCAGAAGATGAAATTGCCAAGACAATATGATTGATGTTTTACACGCTGAAAACAATATCGTCTTCCCCTTTCATCACGAATGATAATCGTACATCTCATAAACTAATGAAAACACTTTTACTCATGAATTTTATTTTGCTCTTTGTTTTATTAAGCTAATAATAAATCTATAGTCTGCATATTTTGGCATATCTTTGTTTCTGACAGGGTAGAGATTGATGATTTATATAGATTGATTCCCCTTAATTATTGAATTTGAATAAAGCATGGACAAGCGTAGATTTTGCAGAATAACATGATGTTAACATTACTGTTTACTGCGTTGCCTTCTTATCAGCTGCTTACAGGCAACAGTCATTATTAAGTATACCTACAAAAACAGTTTTAACATACCTGCTTGCATAGAGTTCATTTTAAACAAAAATCAATCAATCATTATAGACATCTAGTAATAATTATATATATCTGTAATATGAAACACTATTTCGAACAATAATGATCATACACAATGGAAACTTTTCGGTATTAAGTATTCAGATGAAATAGAGATGGGTAAAAAAAGACTGAAAACTGTTTGTTTCTGAACGCATAAATCAGGTTTCAGGTGATTGATGGAGATGGCTTCAGAAAACTTCAGGAGAATTGATCACCTTTGCTTATTGATCATTTTGAACGATATGGCGACGTCGACCTGATAACCCGTGTCGAGGAGATGTCTAGCAATGACACTTTTGAAAACGTTAGTTCACTTTATACATAAGCTTTTTGGTCCATGTTCAGAAAAACCTAAATGTGCCCTTCTTCTTTCTTTCAGTTCTTCCTATGTAACTGCTCCCGCAGATACATGTAAATTTGTATATACAGTTGCAGATAACATGAGAAGGATACTTGTCGATTTTTGACTGCATCAAAGCGCAGGTCGTTCGAAGGACAGGGACAAGCCTATTGACATAAGTATGAAACTTGGGCACTGTGGTAGAGTACAACTCCATTATGGATAAGAATTTATTTTGATAAATCACACAGTGTTGTACAGTTATATTAACTGATGACGTTTCGAGCACAAACTATTTCTCAAAATCATATCAAGTTACTCAAACAACTGTTTTTCTTCATTTATATACATGTGTGGAATCGACTAGATATTGGATTAAAACCAACGCATTCTAATAGATATTTAGACTTTATTTCGTCTGTTAAGGCAGGCTTGTCTTGAACGTCCACAGGGTAGTTCATGCTTTCTTTTGTGTAGAATATTTTCACTCTTATTTCACAAGAAATTGACTTCAGTCAGTCAAGATATTCTCCGTAAATTTATTCGGCAGCTTACTCACTAATGGTGACCACTCAAAGTGCTTTCTGTGTTCATTGTGAATCTGAGACAAGCCTGAAGGAGATCCACCATCCCATTTCACTCTGTTTTGATGAAGTCCCTCACAAATAAGGCCAAATGCATGGTGTCTTCTTCACTTTCAACACAGTGGAATACAAATTGTGTCCCTCTAATCTGAGGGGACCACTAACAAACAGACGATCAAGGCTTCAATGAATGTCTCACAGAAATGTAACCAATTGTGTGACATCAGGTGTCGTATTATTGTTGAAATTAATAAGACTCAATACGACTGGTTGACTTTGCTATTGTGAATAATGACAGAACGAACAGAAATGCAGGATACTATGAGCTCGTTTTGTTCTTCATGCATTCTCTTCGCACTCTGCGTAGATCGTAGACATAATCCCGTGTATGCCACAAACATTCTGAGCTAGATTTTCACAATGACTTCGAGTTATACATGGAAAATATAGGCAACATCATTTCAAAGAGAATGTCAGTAGACCATCAGTCTGTGTAACAGAAGTGACTATTTTTATAAATATGAGATGTACTATGAGGTTGAGTGAGGAAAATGCGTGGAAACAAGGATGGACTGGGCATATAATACAAGATAGAACAACACAGTGAATTCATACACATTATGATGGAGAGTTCAGGAGGCTGGCTGTGAATAGTAAATTAAAATCATTAGAAAGACAAAGCAATTCAGTGGATTAGCAAACTTAATTGTGAATTCAACTGAGTAAGTGAGAATCGAAATCAGAATTAAGTGGAATTCTCTGCAACAAAACAAACCACAGGAATACGCGAACACGACAGTCACAGAAACCAAGTCAGTGAGAGATAAGATGTGACATGCAGTGAGATTTGATCACAAACACAACACACACACACACTAGCTGACTACTCCACCAACACACAGGAGGGACTAACTCTCAGCTAACCGATCGGTGAAGTGCCTCTAATGACTAAATCAGAAATCGCTGATCGGAAGTATTCGCAGATAGTTTGGCAGCACACATACCGAATTGACATGAAGGGTAGACACGGATGTCTACTGAGTTTGATATTCTATTTAGCCTTATGGAACAGGCAGGGAAATAATTCTTCTAAACTATGCAAGACACAGCAGTTTCAAGCTTCACCTCCGAGTACAAAGTCATTTCCTCACTCGCTTCATGTGAATCGAAACAGAACTATGGAGAAATATAAAATCTCCTCACACCAAACTCGTACTTTCACATAACTGCATATGTACTTATTGCACTTTTTTTACCCTCAACCTCTCTACTTCAATTTTCATTCTCATATGACTCCACTCAACATATTGAAATCACGTCACTCACTTTCGACAATTCAAGGTCACATAATTCGCCCAAAATTCTTCCTAACTGCACTTCAGGTGTCAGACTGTTATGTATAAACGCAAAATATTACGTCTGTTACAGGATCTGGCCACGTTGATTACGATGAAATCTCGATGACAATCGCAGTTCTGTTGTTTTGAAGACTTTGGCACATTTTATGATCCACGACTGAGAAATGTGGAATGGAATGATTCAGGATCAACAACAACTCATCTGTTATGATGTCACCGCATTCATCTTTAGCAATAACACTGAGACTAGAATAGGGTTACTGAGCCGATAATATTCGCGGTTATTACAGCATATCACTAAGCTTCTCGATCACTGCATATAGGAGGTACCAGTTTCCTCAGATCACACTACTTATGCTAGAACACACAAAGTCCTGAGTTGTAACGTGTATTTCTCAATATCCACTCTATAAATATATATAAGGCTGTTGGAGTCGGCATGAGAGATTTCCATTAAACGATGTATCCAGTACGAGTGGTGTAGGCGTGCCAGAAAGTGAACATCAAACGATGCATAACCACTGATGGTTTATTTCTAGACTGACCTCAGCCATCGTAGAACGATCAAGGGATAACCCATAGTTTATTTGCCTACATATCATCTGCTCATTTAGAAAAGACTTATTAACTAGGGTTACCATGGATCCTCACTGTGTACTTTCTTCACATGGCCGACCGATTTCGAGGAAGTCATCAAGTGTTTACTGGAGAGTCTGCAGCTCTCGTGCCCCCCTCAACTATCACAGCGCGAGAAGCTGTGGCACGCTTCAGAATATGTTTGTGTCCAAGAGAGCAGAGTTTGCGTTGAAACTGTGTTAGTGAAACACCCGACACAGCTCTGTTTGATAGGAGAACAGGAGTATTGCCATCTTACGCTGGAGGGTGTCAAAATATGAACAGTTACGAATTTCCATTCACTATCAACGGTATAAATTTAGAAGATGTACGAACAAGTGCGTGTGAAGTTAAGTGTCTGGCACTTGGAAGGATTCAGTGAAAGACCGTTTAGCATCACCCACTGGCTCATGTTCGAAAAAGTCTGTTCAGTTTGAAACAGTCAGATAGCAACGAAGCTGGCAACAGAACAGTCAGATCATCAGCATATTTAACCATGTTGATTCCTTCGGAGGTGATTCCTTCATCAAAAGCAGTTTCATCACATTTCAATATTTACCTTTGCAGAATTACGCTTGTTATGTAATCTACCGTGGTGACGAAGGTAAATTCCGTCAAAGAATACACTTCCAGTTTGATGTGAAGTTCGTAGGTGTGATGAGACAGGAATATAAATCACAAGTGACATAGAGACAAAATAATAAAAATATTTGCTTAGATTTAAACTGAGAAGACTGTTTCATGAATACTTTGCCATGTTGTGAAATAAACGAGCTAAGAACTTCAAGTGAAACATGAAGAAAGGCCTTTGAGACGTCGAAGTTCGAAGAAAGTCTCCTAGGATCTCAATGAGTACACATTCAGTAACAAGGCTGGCATAACACACAGTGAATCAGATTATGCGAGACACTGACTACCAGCAGTAATCTAGTGAATGGTGTAATGTTGAAGTTGAATTCTCATTGTTAACCTAAATGAACATTAGTCATCAACTGGTAGTATGCAAAAGGATTCAACACTACCTTCAATTGTTGGTTTACGGTGATTCAATTTCTATGAAGGTGGATTTCGTAACTAGTCGATGAATATTGGAGAAGTAATACCAATCAGCATGTTACAAAGAAGAGTCTAAGTGGATCAGCTAAACTTCTTGTATTTTTCCGGACTATCAGAGTATGGCTTAACACTGGAGAGCACGAGTGCTTGAATTTCAACCCGATGACCATGTGGTCAACGGGATTACCTCATAAACTGCTAGTCTAGAATTCAACCCATGGTGGGAACATGGATGCACAATTTTAAGGAATTCGTAGGGCGGACAAAACAGCCTTCTACTGCTGCATGCTATTTCGCAGTTTACATAAGAGTCAATAAAATCCCTCTATGGAACACGAAATTGGAAATACTTATTGTCTCCGTAAACAAACCAGTCATGAATGTTTGAACACACCTCTCCTTATGATGAGGACAAGAGGTGAAATGATACTAACTACATCTAAAAAAGTATTACTTTACTTGTTGCTGCCGCTCAAAGACTGTTACTACTTGTGATGAACTAATCATTTGTGAACAGTTGACGAGATCTGTTAACTATTTACTTGAACATTGAAATGTTTTTACAGATTTTATGATCCACGACTGAGAAATGTGGAATGGAATGATTCAGGATCAACAACAACTCATCTGTTATGATGTCACCGCATTCATCTTTAGCAATAACACTGAGACTAGAATAGGGTTACTGAGCCGATAATATTCGCGGTTATTACAGAATATCACTAAGCTTCTCGATCACTGCATATAGGAGGTACCAGCTTCCTCAGATCACACTACTTATGCTAGAACACA